CCCAAAGAGGTGCCCCCCCCCGGTGTGGTTTCTCCTCCCCACCTTTTTTTTTTTTTTTTTTTTTTTTTTTTTGCCCTGGCTGCCAAGCAGACCTCGGTGCAAGCCAGCCTCTTCACAGGCACCACAATAAACCCAGCTGCCGGCAGAGCCCGGGCACCATCTCACATCACTGCCACGGGGATGGCAGGCCTTGGTACATGCTCTTGCCCCCCCCAAAAGTGCACTGGGATGGCCTCGCCACCCCAAAACCCTGTCCTGGGTGCAAGGAAGTCTGGCAGCTCTGTAGCATCCCTGCTCACTGAGGCTGGGGATGCTGGAGCATGCCAGGGATGGCAGGTCACCTGCGCATGGAGATACAGGGGCTGCCATGCAAACAGCCCTCTGTGGCCTCGTGCTGGAGCCTAGCACCCCACTGGGAAAGGGTTTGAACCTCCAAACTTTGCTCCTGGCTCTGGAAAGGGCTACAGCAGGGCTTTTCCCTCTCCTACCTGCAAGCCTGGGGGTCATTTCCCAGGAGTGGGTGGCTACAGGAGAAGGGGCCGCTGTGCTGAAATGATGCTCGGTGCCTTGGAGCGGGGTGATGCTCCAGCCAGCATCATCCCCCTTGCCTGGCACTGCCATCCCTGTCCCATCCTCGCCCTGAGAGCTGTGGGGCAAGCCCTTCATGCACATACCTCCAAGGCGACGGGCTGGGTCGGCAGCTTGTCCTCTGCCGCTGCCGCCGTCGGAGCCCCTGGGTGAGTCCCTGCACCTCCTCTTCCCCCTCTCCCAACGAGGTCCCTGTGAGCGGCTTCATTTGCAAAGTGCGGAGGCTCCAGGACCAGCACACCTATCATGAGAGACACATATTAGCTGTGCGCAGATGGGAGAACGCCTCTAAATGTTATATTTTTAAAGCATTTTCTCACCCAGCAGGAGCTCCAAGCTCCTCTGCTTAGCGTGGAGGCATCTGTGGGAAAAGAGGTGGGGAGGCCTGCTGCAATTCAGGAGGATGCTGCTGGGATTCGGGCGGGCACAGAGCGAGGTGAATGAGGAATTTATTACAAGCCCCGTTTGTGTGCAGCGCTGAGGGTGGACTTTCCCGCTTGCTACCCCCATTACATTCTCACAGGGCAATCCTCACTTGGGGCTCACAACATGAGTTTGTCTCCGTGGGGGAAGATAAGTTTGCACCCACCTACCGGTGTAAGCACCTGGTGCAGAGCGGGAGCAACCTGCTGTACCCCAGGCAGGGGACAGTCCAATCCCTGAGCATCCCCCTGCCAGGCTGGCTCCCAGATAGGCAAATATAAGAGATTCCCGAGTCCAAGGAAGCTTGGATATCTCATTTAAGCTGTTCTGCAATGTTTAAAAATCAAAGAAAGCCAGCAGAAAATCCAGACAGTTCCTCTCCCAGCCCAGGGTAAAGTCACTGTGCAGAAGGGACTCTCCTGCATCTGCAGGATGCATCTCCTCAGGAGCTGTGCCCACAGACATGCAGATATGGGGCAAAAGGAGATTTTTTTTTTTGGCTAGGACACGAAATGCAGCAGAGATTTAAGGGGACAGAGACCAGGGACTGGTTGAAGCCCTGCATGCCTGTACAAAGCCTTGGCCAAGGTCAGTCACCCCAGCACCGAGTGGGGCCATCACCCATCTTGCCCCCGTGCCAAGTGGGGCCATCACCCGTCTCCCAAAGCCTGCTCAGCCCTGATGGAGGTGTAAAAGCAAGCAGCACTTGGCATCTGTCAAAACAAGCCCATTTCATG